AGTATAGATAATGTGTCAGTTCGGGGATAAATCCAAAGCGGTCGCAGACGTTTATCAATGGACGGGCATCTGGAAGCTGTATTTCCATGAGAAAATTCCTAGCTCGCTCTGCATCGTAGAACTTCGATTCCCTTGTTGCACGTTCCACTTCTTTCAGCTGACCAATTTTAGCAGCTGCTTCGATGTACTTAAAGTGAACGTTGGCGTCCTCACTGGAGACTAGACGTGTTACGGTAATAGAATGAAGAACCATCGTTACTCACCTTTTTGCAAGTTGCGCTCCCAGGAAGAAAAATATGCCTTCATAGCATCTAAACTGCTCAAACAAGTCAATACAATGTTCGACTCCAAGTTGCTCTGCATATTCTTTGGCCACCTGAAAACGGGCAAGACTGTCAAAGCACAAAATATTTTGCCAGAAGTACCTGCACGACGATCTGCAAATTCTGTCGCATATCAATCAGAAGCAATTCTTTCATGCAATCCAACGCCCAGTCTTTTGAAAGTGTGCCAAAGAACTCGACTAATGCCTGCACTACCATGTCAAACTTAATCTAAGCATCTGAAAACTGCTTACCTGACCATCCATCGTATGGGTGTTTATTATGACTCTTTTTATGTCCGTCAACTCTGTGTAATGCTGCAAGAAATAGTTTTTTTACTGTCAGTGAAATATTTTAAACACTAGATGTGCCTGAAGTGCTCTCATGAAAAGCCCAGACTTTTCGCAAAGCTGAGCAATGCGAGATCGGTCATAGTGGCTGAAAACACCATTTGCCATGATGGCCTCTGCCACATTAGGAAATGTCAACAGGTTGATCTCGAGAACCTGCATACGTGTCTTGTGAATATATGAACAAATGCTCACTAAATGGAAAATACAAGACCTTTGTTTGAAGCATCCCGTGTTCCGGAAGATTTTCCTTCAACACATCTAAAAGAAAAGCGGTAGTTTCCCGGATCATGTTGCGCTGTAAAGAACACCTAAAATGTTGGTTCATCATTGTATTTCTTTTCAAAGGAGAAACAGAGAACATACCTGGAGAAATAATTCAATGATGATGTTGTAATCAACTGGACAGCCACCGTCCATTTTAGATAAAATCAACGCAAAATTTACTGCAGCCTGCACAGAGTAATTCTTAGATGAGGACCACAACGAATCGTGAATCTACCTGCGGATCGATGGCTAATACTGATTGCAACAAGAAAAGATAGTCTGGCGTGTAGTTAACCTGGCGTTCAATGTAAGAGTTCATACAAGAACTATGATATCAGCGATATTAAAACCTGCTTGGAGTAGATTAATATCTTATCAAATTCCCTTCTCTCGGCAAATCCAGCAATAACTTTTGCCGTTGCTCGGGCCTTAATGTAAACTTTCAGGGCCATTTCGGCATCAACCGCCTGCTAGAATCATTAAAGACTATAGAAATAAAGTAAATCAAGCATACCCTGATGAGGTTCCCCAGATCTTCTGTACACTCCAGCTTGTCCTCCGCTAACCAGTTTTCCAGCAGATGTTTCTTGCTCTGACTTACAACCAGTCGAGACAACTCCAAAGATTCGAATGCATTTAAGCGACCTTTCGTTAACAAGGTGCCAAAATATTGAAGCAAGGGAGAAGTTTGCCCAGGTGGAACAGTGATCAGCTGCCAACATCAAACTAATGAATGTTATAAGGGTAACCATGATAATGTGATGCCCACCTGAAGTTTTGCAACAGTTTCAGGAGTCCGAAGAACACCTTGAGGAGACTCGGCGGCCAAGTCTGCTGCTTCTCTGTACTTGGTTTGCGAAACTAGCTCGTGAAATCTTTGCACGACCTACAGAAACATCACTCAAAAACGGAAAATAATGTTGAACCAACGATTACGAGTTTTTCAGCTCCAGGGAGGTTCGCTCGCTTTGCAAGGCTTACTGCAAGGTCCATATTTTTTAGCTGTAAAATCACAAATGAATGCTTCTTTTGTTGAACGTTTTGCGCTACCTGATCGCTGATGAAAGAAATAATTGTCGTCTCATTGATTGTGCCCATGAGAACTTGGCCGCGTTTGTTCACAGCATAAAAACCTCCATTTGAAGGAGCGTCAGCAGAAATGAAAAAGGGATCTACGCTGATACGATTCCTATACACGGCAACAGCGGTCTCCAAATCATAGACAAAAAGAAGTCCCATTTTCGAGAGGACATAGATAACACCATACTTTTGAGACATCTGAACAAAAAAAGAAGACGTAACGTTTACGAGCTATGAGCCTTATATACCTGAATTGCAATGGGAAAGTCGTCAGCGAATTCGGGAGGAAAAAAGAGCTCGGCCTGTTTTTTCCCAAACCCAACCTTACCTGCAAGCAACTCGCTTAATACGTAGAAAACTAGTATTAAAATGAATGAAACCTGTCTGTGCGCCAAGTTCGATTACATGCAGCTTTGACACAACCTGGGCCCCGGAATAGTTCTTTGATGCAAAAGATATAATAACAGATGCAGCGTCATTTGCGGCAAACTGTAGAAGCATAAACTCCTTTAGATAATGTCAAGATATGGTATCAATATACTTACAGCCTTTCATTGCGTGCCTTAGGCCCGGTATCTGCAATTACCTTGAAAGATCCAAATGCCGCAGCATGAGCTTCAAGTGACTGACTTCGCTTTTGGTCTACGGAATAAATCTGCATATTTCCTTTCACTAGTTGAGGACGCTGCAGATAGAAGTTGACGTTAGCAGTGAAGAAATTGCTACAAGTGGATGGTTCCAAGGCACCGTGTTCTGTGAAAGGTTGCCTCTAGAAGAACGAAGCGTACCTCCGGAGGGCCTGGAGCAATCCCGATCAAAACAAGCCATTTCTCAGTGGGGTCACAGCGATAATTGATGATCTGGTGGCCATTCAAATTGGCCGCTCTCTCAAACATCTTCACCGGCTCAGGCGGCCCTGACTCAGGAAAAAAATAAAAGGAAATAACCAAACTGATCATAGAAAAACACTAACCTTCAATAGACCAGTGATAAACCGCATCCTGTGTCACCAGTCCAATGATTTTCGGTGTGATCCATTTCCAAAAGACGATCTTCACATAACGTAGCATGAGGTGAGAAGCATAACACCAGCGTGCAGACAGACCTGTTCGTTCATTTGATAAGCTTTTAGCTTGGCCTTGGTGTCAAGGTTAAAAACTTGTAGCTGCTCTTGTGCTATCAACACCCACAAAAAAAAAAAAAAAAAACAGAATGAGAAAAATGTTAGAGAAAACGCTAGAATTGAGCTGTGGTTACCTCTAAGAGCGAGAACTTTTCCCAAAGGATTCATCAAAGCCGAATCCGCGGCGATCGGCCGACGCAACGGTTGCTTTGGTACGCTCAAATCCACAATCATGAGACTGTTCTGTGGCGAAGTCTCCCTGACACAGATATATTTCTCGGATTCCATGGTGACGAAAGAAAATCCCACAAACTGAGCCCCGATCCCAAGCCCCGTGAGCTACATTTCCACACAAAAACTCAGCTGGATCCATCAAGCTGGAGCGATCAGATCGAGAACTCACCGATACGATCTCCTTAGTCACGATTGGCGCTCCCGTTGCCGTCATCGCGCGCCACAAGAACCCTAGCTAGAGCGCTCGAGCCGAGAACCAAAACGCCATAGGGCTCGTACGACAAGGGCACGGAAGGCGCCAAGAAGAGAGGGAAGATTCTCCAGTTAAAACAAGAGATGCCCGTTTCAAATTTCCTGGGGTATATTCCACGATCGTGCGCGCCAAAACTCGGCGTTGATAAAAAGGATTTGTCGTCCTGCGGTGGCCATTGATTAGGTCATTTAGGCCGTTGGACGGATTTCGAGGAATGGAGGCGCAGCGCCGCCAGTGCTGCTGGCGCGAGCAAAGAAGCTTCTTTTTTCGAGGATTCCATGGCGCCTGGAGGTGAGTGATCTTGCCCAGAGCAAATAGAATAGAAAGAAAGAGCGAAAGAAAAGATTGGGGACGAAGAAAAAGAGATCTGGCGATGGCATTACGCCACAGACAGTGATGGCGCTTGAATCTCGTCATTTGCTCTCTTTGGGACGCTGGCTGCTGCATTAGAATCGCGAAAGCGACTGAGATAATTTACATTTGTGAGAGAACTTAGCCAAAAAAAAAAAACGAGAGAGATGAGATTCGTGAGAAACTTTAGAGAGTTTAAGGAAGAAAGATGAGAGAGATCACGGCCAATGAAGGAGATATTTCCGATTTTTTTTCTCCTCGTTCGTTCTCTCTCACGTTGTTTTTTTGTTTTTTTTTTCTTCTCGGTCGCTTTGCTAGGTGTCCCATTGAACACCCAGACGATGGCGACGGCTTTCTTTCCAATGAATGACCCTCATTGATGCGTCATATGTGTGGAGAAAGACCATGAAAAACCAGGGAGAATACCGTCGCTGGATCCTGGCTACTCTGGGAGGCACCTGAAAGAGGTACGCTACGGAACTCCTTGCTCTTGTTTTTCCTTCGTTGTTTTTACTTTTTCTATCTTCTTCTGAAGGTTTTTCATACGTACACTGTGGTCTACCTTTCGGCTTTGTCTATAACTAGGAGCAGGATTCTCGGCTGTTTGTCGCATTTCGCTAGAGGCTCCTCGCGTTTGCTGCGCTCGAATCGGGTCTAGATCACAAAAGCCGGCCCCAGAAGAGAGAGTAGTTCCAGCCGGCCTTGGAGGAGAAAGAGGAGAGTTTGGTTTTCTTCGGCGTGAGAGATGCTGGAAGCGAAGTTGGAAGCTGCGAGCAATGGCGAGAGAAGTGTGGTGATGTGATGGGGAACTGCTCCTGCTCGGCCTGTTGCTACGACTGCTGTGACGATCTCTGTTCGCGGATGGCACACCGGTGGACAAAGCTTCGTCCAAGGCTTCTGGATGTCATACAGATGGAGGATGCGGAGGCTCTCAGAATTTTGATCGATGAGGAGTCGGCAGTGCCTTCGACAACGGGCAGACCAGACTCGCTGGAGTATGTTGTCTCGCACAGGGAAAAAATTGATGCTCGGTTTGGAGATGATCTTTCGGAGATGAAGCCGTTTTTGCAGCAAAGAGCTCCTCAAGTGGAATTCAGAAGCGAGAAAAGGGAAGGCCTGGAAATCTACGTTGTCACTTGGAACATGAACGGGAAGGTATCACTTTTTGCTCTTTTACATCGTTCATTCTTACAGGTTTTCCTTTTGCTTCTAGATTCCTCGATATGATCTTGCAAGGCTTCTGGATGACTCCAGTGGCAGAAAGTACGATTTGTACGTGATTGGACTTCAAGAAGCTCCAAGCAGCTACGTAGACTCGTTTTTCTTGGAGGTTCTCGGCGAAAGCTACTGGTAAGAAGCTCACAGATTTTCCACAGTTTAATTTTTCATTCTCTCTTTTTGTCTAGCCTGGTTGCCTCCTCAATCATGGCATCCTTGCAGCTCTTTGTTTTCGTGAAGATTACACTGTTGCCATTCATGTCAGGTAAAGTGTACCAAACTAAAGCCGAACTTTTTCTCATGGATCTTTGGATCTTTGGTTTTTAATCTCTTTTGTCAGATTGTAGAAGTGACAAAGTTGGAGTTGGAGGATTTGGAGGAGTAATAGGCCGCCAGAAAGGAGCCACGGCGGTCACGTTACGTTACAGGGAGCTCACATTCTTGTTCCTCTCTTGCCATCTTGCTCGTAAGCCCCTTTGAGTAGAATCGCCTTTCATCCTAATCCTGTTTCCAACGCTCCAGTGCAGCTCACGAAGGCAATGTAGAGGCAAGAAACTCTCAATACACACGGATATGCCAGAACGTTTTTGCGAGGCCATACTCTTCCACCGTCTGCGCGTGCCTACAAACAACCACCGGCATTGTGGCAGACGACTTTGCTTTCAAGGAGCGGCAGCAACAGCCCTTCAAGAACGCAAACGCAGTGGAGGAGTCGGACCTGGTCATCTGGGTGGGAGATTTAAACTACAGGGTCGTCGGGCATAGAAACTCCGTGGGAGTTTTGATCAAGAACAACTTGGAAAAGGTATTTTCTTTCCATTCATATCTCGTCCTTGGAACCATTATGGTTTTTCCAGCTCTTGTGGTCGAGAGACCAGCTCTCTCGAGAAGCCCGACACGGGAGGATCTTCACTGGCTTTCGCGAAGGCCCGCTAACTTTCAGACCAACTTACAAATACGACGTTGGCACGGACAACTACGACACTAGTGCGAAGGTACTGTTCTTCATTTCTTCTCCAAAATCGAAACTTTGATCTACAATCCAGGAGAGAGTTCCCTCGTGGACGGATAGAATCCTCTTCAAAGTAAAGGACACGGGATGGGTCACCGCCAACGTTCACGACTACGCTTCCATAGATTCGATGAGGAGCTCCGACCACCGGCCTGTCAAGGCTGTGCTAGCACTAAGCATTTCGCTATAACAGGCCTTGTGTTTTTCCGCGTAGCCCAGAAGCATGACTTGACAGTTTGGCCGAGTGGTCTAAGGCGTTGGATTTAGGCTCCAATCCGTTAGGGCGTGGGTTCAAATCCCACAGCTGTCAATAACTTCGTTGTTATATGGAACAATTTTTTTTTTTCTCATTTTTTGCAATAACCTAATTCATTGAACTTCTCCTTTTTGCATCGATCGATCGATCATTAACAAAGCTAGAAATCTTCACGATACCATGGATCAATCACGCTCGAACTTTTTTCCTCTACATTTTTACCATTGTAGCTGCAAATACAAAGGAGTACCAGCACAAGCTAACAGAGAGAAGCAGCAGAAGCTATCAGAGAGGACACCAATGTGAGCTTTTGCTACTCTCGAGAAGAATCCATCATGGATCACACATTCTTCTTCCAACCAAGCTAGAAAACTTCACGATCCCATCGATCGATCACTCAAAGATCGATTTTTTTTCTTCTCACCAACTGATGTGAGCTTTCGCTACTCGAGAGAAGAGTCAGTCTTCGCGACGGTACGTTGGAAGACGAGGATATCACTCGGAGAGTTCGTGCTGCTAGTGTCAGCATTACCTTGATGCGTGTAGCTCTTGGGCTCGTCCTTGGCTGCTGCTGGATCCACATCTTTCTTTTCTTTGCGGCAATCCTTCGCCTCTGGCGCTACTGGCGAGGCATTCTTCTGAGCGTCTGGGAGTGACTTTTCCATGGACAATCAAAACCTGGAGAAACAAACCTTGAGAACTTTTAGATTCAATCGAGAGAGCTCACACCACTTCACCTCTAAACTCCAAGCTTTCGCGCTCGAGCTCCAAGCACGACAAGTGTCCTTGTAAGTGGCATAAGTAGCTTCTGCCAAATGGCCAAAACCAAGTGAATCAAAATGGAAAAAACTTAAAAGAAGTGCAATTACCTCGAGGAGCTCTTTCACTACCAGTAGTCCTTGCATGAGCAAAACCCGTCTTTGAACTCGTGAAACCGGTTGGCGTCTCTCACTGTGATTTGCCTCCCTGTGATCTTGGAGATGAACTTGGTAGCCGTGTGACAATCGGTGCAAACCCGGAGATTTTTCACCACCCGGAGAGGAGTTCCACTCGGTGTCGATATCAAGCCAAAAGCCATAGCTTGCTTCTCGCTATGATAGCAAAGAACTTGCTCTTTCTCCTCCTCTTCCACGTCCATCAACACCACCTCCGTGTCTGGAACATAGCCGGCCTCTCTCATCAGCACCCCGAGTCTCTGCAGCTCTGCGAAGATCTCGTCGTTTCGAGGATGAGTCCTGCTTCCGGAAGCAAACTTATGGACCTTGTCCTTGATCTCGATCCAGCTCAAACCGGGGACTTTCTTTCCGCAGTCACGACCAATCCGTCTCCTCAGCTTCGCGGCGGCATCAAACTTCCCACACACTGCGTGGATGTCCGAAAGTAGCACGTAAGAAGCCGAGTTCCTCCGGTTTAGCTGGACAAGCCGCTGAGCTGCTCGGACACCCCGTTTCATATCCTTGTGGACTTTGCAAGCGTTGAGAAAACTCATCCAAGCGATAAAGTCCGGCTCCAGCGTCATGTTTTCTAGCAAGTCCTCCACGTCCTGGAGCTGTCCCAGCCTCCCCAGCAAGTCGAGAATGCAAGCGTAGTTCTCGTTCACTGGAGAGAGGCCATAGTCTTGGAGCATTGAGACGAACCAGTTGCGAGCATCCTTGAGCAGCCCGGCATGGTTGCATCCGCTCATAACTTTGACGAAGATCACGGTGTCGATGGCCTCTCCGGCCTGCTGCATCGCGTGGAAGAGCTCGAAAGCAGCACTGGCACTTCCCTGTTGAGCATACGCTGCTATGATCGAAGTCCACGAAACCATGTCCTTGGAAGCCATCTTCTCAAAGACCTGCCTTGCTTCGTTCAGCTTCCCACACTTCCCATACATGTTTACCAGCGTGTTCTTCACAACCATGTCCTGCTCGAGCTCCGTCCCGGCAACAGTGGCATGAAGAATCCTGGCTTGAGCTAGCGCGGCCAAGTTAGCACAAACGTCGAGAACGAGTGAAAACGCTACCTTGTCAGCTCTCACTCCTTCTATGTCCATTCTTTTGAAGAGCTCAAGAGCTTCCAGTCCCTGTCCCTGCTGAGAATGAGCTGCGATCATCGCGGTCCAGACAACCACTGACTTGTTGTGCATGGCGTCGAAAACTTCGATTGCCTTGTCAGGAACGTCACATCTGGAATACATGTTGATGAGATTGGTGCCGAGAACAGTGTCTAGCTCGCATCCCAGAGTGATCATTCTGTAATGAAGCAGCTGACCGAGAGTTAGATCCGGTAAACACGCACAGGCCTCGATAACACTCGTGAAAGTTGATCTGTCACCTCTAAGTCCTTCCAGCTCCATCTTTCGAAACATAACTATCGAGTTTGCAGGACGAGACTGTTGATTGCAAGCTGCTATAATCCCGTTCCACGAAACCACGTCCCTTTGAGACATATTCTCAAACTTCGCCATCGCATCCTCATAGCTTCCAACTCTGCTATAGAGATTGATAACTGCGGATTCAAAACCAATATCACCCTCGATTCCGCTGCTCCTGTCGAGTGCTCTTGCTTCTTTCAAGCCTCGGATGGATACACACGCCTCAAAAGCCGCGTAGAAGCTCAACTTATCCGGCTTCATTCCCTCCAAGTCCATTTCTCTAAACAGCTGCAGTGCCTGATGACCATGCCCGAGCCGGGCATACGATCCTACGATGCTGTTCCACAAACCTACTGTCGCATTCTTCCCGGCTGTTCTATCAAAAACCATCTTTCCTTCCTCCAAACTTCCACACTTCCCATACATGTTGACAAGGCAGTCGGTCACGCTGAGCTCCAAACTACAAGCTTCGATACGCTGGTGTATAAGCCTCCCACGGACTAAGTCCTGTAAGTTCGCACAGCAATCCAAAACGCTCACGAAAGTCACAGCATCCGGCTCAAAACCTTCAAAGTCCATCACCTCTAGCAGCTTGAGACCCTCCAAAAACCGGCCATTTTGAGCATACGCACCAGTCATGATCGTCCACGAGACAACGTCCTTGAAAGGCATCCAATCCAAAATCCTCCTCGCATCCTCCAGCCTCCTGCATTTCCCATACAGCGTTATAAGCGAGTTTCCAAGCAGAAGATCACACTCTACAAAACCAGAAGCTACAGCACTCTCGTAAACTCTCTCACCTTCTTGGCACTCACCTTGGCTGGAGCAAGCATCCAAAACGCACGTAAGAGTCGCGGCTTGAGGCCTCACTCCTCGCTGCTGCATCGCTTGAACAAACTTTAGTGCCTCGCGACCATTCTTTTGCTGCGAGCAAGCCGAAAGAATCGCGTTCCAAGTCACAACATCCGGCCTTGGAGTGCTGTAAAAGATCTTCGCTGCCTCCTCCAAGCTCCCACACTTTCCATACAGCGTCACCAAAGAGTTCCTCACCACGGTATCCTGTGAAAGCCGCGAATCCTCCGCTATAGCCTCGTAGATCCTTCTTCCTTCCACGAGAGACCCCAGCGAAGAACACGAGCTTAGCACGGAGCTCACGATGAAAGCGTCCGGGAGAGCGCCACCGTCGTATAGCATTCTCCAGTAGTGCTCTATCGCCTCACTGTAATGCCCGTTTTGGGCAAAGCCTGTGACGATCATCGTCCATGAGAAGACATTCTTCTCTTGGATCCCATCGAAGACGCGCTTGGCGTCGCCGATGCTAGAGAGCTTGGCATACATCGCTATCAGGAGATTTGCCAAGTAAGTGGAATCGATGGCGCCGCTAGAAGCGAGAATCTCGCGGTGCAATGCCTGGCCCTCCTCCAAGACGCGGCAGTGGCGAATGCGCGCGGCGAGATCGTTGAGCCGCGATCGCATCCACCTCACATTCGATCGATCGCGCGAGCCCTAGAAAAACAGGGGATTATAGTAAGTCTTGTCATAAACCCTAGAGCATTTTCGCGATGGCGAGGTCGAGGAGCGCCAATGCGGCGGTGGGGCTAGGGTTCGCCGCCTTCGCGCTGGCGATGGGAGCTCTTCCATTCTTCATCAGGTACTGGCTGGAAACGCATTCATAGCGCTTGCATTGGATGATTTCCTGTGGATTCTTGCGTTCTTGGCCTCCGATTCATCCGAGGGATGATATTTCGAGGTCTAGATGCTATCCTCGGTGATTGTTGTGTCTGGAGTTTTTTCTCTCTTTTTTTT